AAATTATGTATTTTATTCGTATTCATCTTTATGTTATTATATTGATTTGTGATGTTGTTAATTATTTCTTAATTGTTGTCTAAATGTAATGAATGTATTCATTGTTTGTTTAAAACATGATGTTTATGTTTGATAGATCATTGAAATGAATTATCATGTTGCAAATTAATTCTTGTTAAATGATTAAAACGTAAAAAATAGTAGAAAATATTATTAGATGGAAATATTTGTGATTAAATATGAGAATAATATAATTGTATATTATTAGTTATATCTTTCTACTTCGATTTCTGTATTAAATGAATATATCTGTTGATGAAATTGAAATAAAATAAATATAAAAAGAAAATGATAAAAGAAAGAATAAAGAAAATAATAAGAAAATAAATATAATGATTAATGATAAAATTAATGAGTTATTATTGAATGAAAATTGAAGATGAACATTAAATTCATTAATATTATTTATAAATGTTTAATTTATAATACATATTAAATAGTCACTCTTCATTCTGTATATTGTGTTGATGTTTAAATTATTCAATTTGTTATTATCATATCATCATTTCATTGACACTTCTTATTTATTATCTTTTTATTTATTTCATCATTTATCTCTTGTTTGATATGATAATATAAATAATTTACATTGTATATTATCATCATTCATCATTGATAATCATCTGTGATATAATTTAATTTTCATATCAATAATTATATCATTTAAATAAATAAATAATAACATCTATTAACATATCATTATGATATCTCATCAATGTGATAAATGAAATGGAACATATTTACTCATTAATAACAATAAGATGGATATTCATATTATATAATCATTATTATTCATAACTAACATTATAAATATGAATTAACATAATATTCTTCTTTATTACATTTCATAATGATATTTTCATATTAAAATAGAATTGAAGGTAAATGAAATGAAATAAAGAATAATATAAAAAGAACCGAATTATGAATGAATATACTCAACAAATCAATATACAACATACTCAAAACAACAAGAAGTTACAAAGTGACGAGTGATTGTTATAGAATTTGTATTTTACTTACTTTTTATTTTATTTTATATTTTATATTTTTAAGAGAAAATAATAGAAAACAGAATAATCTAATATTCAAAAAATATAATACACTATTTTCAATTGAGCAATTTATTTAGATTCATAATTTCTTCGCTTATTTTAGTTCCCGAAATGATAAATAATAAAAAGAGAGAAGATGATAAATAAAAAAATCAAGAAAAGTTATTAGATTATAATAAAAATTAAGAATAAGATATAATAATAAATTATTATAATTTATTATTAAGGTATTATTCAATTAAAATATGAAATTGTTGTATTAAACATTTTTCTTAATTAATTATTTAATTTTTTAATAAAAATAAATGAAGAAAAACTAAATTATAATAGGTAAATAATATATTTTATAATTCTTAACAATATAACAACAAAAAAGAGAAAAATAATTATTTTAATAGAATTGTATATCAAATGAAATATTTTCTTTTTTATATATTTCTTTTCTCTTTTTTATTTTCTATTTCTTTCTTATATTCTTCTTATTTTCTCTATCTCTTCATTTATTCTTTTCTTATTATTACTTTTTCTTCTTTTCTCATTATTATCTTTTATTTATCTTCTTATTTATCTTATTTAATATTGTTAAATAACTCTTAATTGATGATAGTTAATTATATTAATTACTTTTCTTTTCATTATAATTGTGTTACTTGAAAGTATTATTTATGTTTGTA